CCAACAGTCAAGGGCGCACCGCTGGATTCTCCCCAAATCAGCGCGGCTGCGAGGTGCTCCGCGGACAAGGCAAGTTGCCGTGTCCGGTGCGGCGGGGCGGCCGGGCCCGCGGCTGCTGCTCGGCGGTCTTCGGCCGCGAGCAAGCGGGAGGCAACTTCATTCACCCAGCGGATCACCGTAAGCAAATTGACGGTGTCGGCGTCAGCGCGCGCTCTGGCCTTGTTCCTAGCTGTCCGCTGGCCATTTCGCCAGAGGCGCTCTGTGCCCACGGTCCCGAGGGACACGTCGCGCCCCTGGTGGAGCGCCCACAATTTGCACCGGTAGGAGGCGAGCAACCCGTTCAAGACAGCAGGCTGCAGCTGGGCGTCGGCCGTAGCCGCAAAAGACTCGCCGCCCGGGGGCGCGGGCACCAAAGCGGGGGCCCTTCTGCCTCGTGGCGGCGCCTCTGCAGGCCGCGGCCCAGCCGAAGGCCGTTTCCTAACGTGCTTTAAATAAGCGAGCTGGGCCTTTGCCCAGCCCGCCCCGCGCGCGCAGTCAACGGCGCCGCTCGGCGAGAAACTCTGACATTGGAACAGTACCTGCAGACCGCGAAGGTCCTCGGCGATGGTGTCTATGCTCGGGTGGCCCTGGCATGCGTAGACCACGCGGTACACGGCGCAGGCGATGTTCGCTCTCGGCGTGCCCTTCAGCGTCGTGGCCCGAGCGACATCTTCGAGGATGACTGCCTTGGCGGCAGGCGGCAGGGGGCGCCCGTGTCTCGGGTGGCCCCACTCGAACGACGAGGCCGCTTCCAGCATCTCGTACGTCCCGGGCGCGCACGCCTCGAAGTTGAAGTACGCAGACAAGGCGGCCTCGAGACTCGCGGGGCGGGGCGCGTCGCTCCGCACGCCATTGGCGCCAGCAAACTCGACGTCATCCATCGCCTTGTCGGCGGCTGCGCCCCCGTCGTCCGGGCCCTCGGAGCCCCCCCGAGTTGCGGGGTTCACGGAGCCTAGCCACTTGCGCAGGCAGCGGATTGCCCACGCTACCTCCTGCGATCGGAAATTGAGCGACTCGAGCATCCGCATGTATACGTGCAAGGCGTCCTGCCCGAGCTCGAACCCGAGGACGCGCTTGGCGGCACGGAGGACCACCACGCCCCCCCCCCGCAGGTGATCAACGAACGCGGCCTCGCTCTCCGAGGTGGCCTGCTTCACTAAGCCTGGGAAGCTGTGGTCCAAGGACGTCGTGATGATGTCGAACCACGCGGCCAAGTTGTCGACGTTGAGGCCAATGGGGCGCAGCCCTCGAAGCTTCAGCAAACGGAAAACAATGAACATGGTCGACTCCACTGTGTCCCGCTGTTCTTTTGCGACGTACAAGCACGGCAGCAGCGGGACATCCCCGAGACCGGTGACGCCAGCGAACGTGCGTTTCTCTTTCTTGCGGAGGCCCACCGCCCGAAGCTGCCTGCAGTCGCTGGCGGAGAAGTCCATGTTGACGACGGCGGCGTGCCCCGCGCACACCGCCATGGCGATGTGGGGCACGAGCGGGGACACGCGGGCGGACACCCACTTGCGAATCCAATCCTTGAGGGTCCGTCGATCGGGGGTCTTGCTGACGTGCGCGAGCAGTGCTCTGTGTAAGATCATGGCCTCCGGCTCGCTCAATACATGGCGCAAGTTGTGACTCCTGACAACTCGCTCCACGTGGCGGCTCGTCAGGTCCCGAAGGTGCCTCTCCAGCGCCACGAAATTCTCGGTCTCTTGGAACACTCGCAACGCGTCTGGCCAGAAGTCGCCGCACACGAGGAAGTCGCCAACAAGGTCGCCCACGAGCGTCGCGCCGACCGTGTTGGGGCCGTGGGGCAACTGCCACGTGCACTCGTGCACCTTGAAGCTGTACCGGGTGCAGAGGGCCCTGCGGCAGCCGACGGATGAGGCGACCCTGAGGCCGAGCTGGGAGCCCCAAGTGCTGACGTCGCACGCGCCGCCTCCCGCGCGGGCTGGGCACTCTCGCGGGATCTCCCGAGCTTCTAACACCGATGTGGTGGCATCCAAATAAATCTGCCACGCAGCTGGGCTCCACAGGTCGCCAGCGCGCGAAGCCGCGTCAGAACGCTCGCTCATGGCCGACGCGGCTGCGTCCACAAACGAGGACAGCATCTGCCCGAGACCAATGCCATCGCCCCTTGGCGCGGCGCGGGCCCGCGATCTCCGGAAACAGCGGTCGCTCAGCAGCAACAGCCCCTTCGAGGTGGTTTCGCGCGGCGTCAGGGAATCAGAGACGCTCCGCGAAGACGGCAACTGCAATTCAGTGGAGACGAGCGGCAACCGCGCGCGCCAGCAGCCTCCTCCGTCCGGGTGGCGCGCGCAAGTCCCGCCGCTTGCAGGGTAAGGCGTGAACTGGATCACGCGGGCTGGTCCAGTGTCGGGGAGCCGCCAGATGCACGCGAAGATTTCTTTGCGGCCCGGCCCAGCATGCAGGCCTGGCCAGGGAAGGAAGTCGCCCAACTGCCACGGGACGTCGGTGGGCGCCGATGGCACCCGGGCAGCTGTGGTCAAGGAAGCCGTCGTCATCGCGGCCAAGGGCCGCGAGGCAGCATGCGCCTGGGCAAACGCAAGGCTCAGACGCTCGTGCCCCAGGTCGGGCGGCGGCGGCGGCAGCGCTGAAGTCACAGCAGGGGAAGCCTTCATCCTTTTGGCAGGTGGTTGGCGGGAAGGGTTATGCACGGAGCTCGACGTCGGCGCGCCACGCGACCTTGGCCGCGCACACCGGTGACCCAAAGCACTGGACAAAGTGTTCACACAAACGTTGCATTCCGTGCATGTCCAAGACGGGCCGCCGTCGTCCTCGTGCCGCCGCATCAGCCGAGCTTGCGTCTGCAACGCTTCCGACTGGAAACCGTGTTTGCCGTGAAGGGCCACGTGCCTGTCCATCGTCCTCCCATTGTTGTGCCCACAGGAACGCCATCGCCACCCGCATGGCTGCCCGAAGCAGCGGGCGTCGGGAAGGGCCCAGCATGGGGGCCCCCGACTGGCGCGACAAGTTTGCATTCGCGGTGCGTTCTGGGTGAAGGCCACTGGCCTCTGCCAGGGACTGCTGCTCACCCCGTGGTTGAGCCAAATCGGCCACTGGTATGTGAGGGACGCGATGAAGAGGAAGGCGAAATGGAGATACGGAGGAGGAGGATGAGGAGGAGGAAGAGGTGGAGGAGGACGGAAGGCGGAGGGGTGGACGAGTATCCAGGACGTGAGGGCCAGAAGCTCGGACCGTTCTGGGACCCATCAATAGTGAGCCCCAGGGTGTCTGCAACTTGCTCAAGGCCTCCCCCGCTCACCGCGTCCGGCGCTCCCCCAAAGCGTCCAAGATGCCCAAGATGACTTGCAAACCAGTCCAGGCAGGCCACCGAACCTGCCAAGATAGCCCAATATGTGTCAAGACGGCGAGATATGGCTCCAGATACTCGCCCTCCTCCTCTCCTCCTCCTCCTCATCATCATCAGCATCCTTCTTCTTCCTCCTGCTACGTCACCGCCTCCCTTCCACAGCTAGTATTGAACCAACGGGACGTACGACCCCGCATGGCAACCCAGACGGGGAAGGGAAAACACCGATTCCGCTTGACCCAACAGGCGGCCACGCAGGGATGAGAGGAGTTGGCTGAGGACGAGGAGGACGAAGATGACGGTGGCGAGGATGATGGTGTTGGGGATGGTTGGTGATGATGGTGATAATGGTGATGATGATGAAGACGCTGATGGTGGTGACGATGACGAGGATGATGACGATGGTGATGACGACGACGACGATGACGATGACAATGCCCATGATGATGATGCTGATGATGATGATGATGCTGGTGGTGACGAAGATGATGACGATGACTATGATGATGATGATGATGATGATGACGATGATGGCGATGATGATGATGCTGTTGATGACGATGATGATGATGATGACGATGGCGATGATGGTGGTAGTAATGATGACGACGATGATGGTCATCATCATGATGATGGCGACGTCTATGAAGGTAGCGACGGTGCGATGCTGGTGGAATGAGGATACGATGGAGGAGTAAAAGCGGGAGACGGGGGAGACGGAGGAGGCGGAGGAGGACGAGGAGGGAGGTGGAGGAGCCTCTTTGCCTGGAAGGAGGGAGGGGGAACTTGGAGGGAGAGGGGAGAGTGAGAGGGGGAAGAGGGAGCGAAGGCGTTCTGGTGGACGTCTTGGGGCCTTCCTGGACCATCAGAAAGGTTAAGGTGATGTTTTCGGGGGCCCCTACGGTGCCTTCTGGGGACCGGTTTGACTGTGTCGGGGCCCTCTTGGGGTTAGACTCGGCCACCGAATCTCGAGGTACTTAAGGAATCCTAAATACCTAGGGGTCCCTGGGCCTGCCGGGCCCCGCCATGAGCCGTCGTGGGGCCCTCGTGTGGCTGTCTCAGGATGTCTTGGGAATCCCTTGGACCCATGGGGAGCCCTGGGGGGCGTCTGAAATTGTACCCAGGGGGCGGGTAAATCCGTAAATCCGTAAATCCGTAAACGCTGTTCTGGGGACCGGTTTGACTGTGTCGGGGCCCTCTTGGGGTTAGACTCGGCCACCGAATCTCGAGGTACTTAAGGAATCCTAAATACCTAGGGGTCCCTGGGCCTGCCGGGCCCCGCCATGAGCCGTCGTGGGGCCCTCGTGTGGCTGTCTCAGGATGTCTTGGGAATCCCTTGGACCCATGGGGAGCCCTGGGGGGCGTCTGAAATTGTACCCAGGGGGCGGGTAAATCCGTAAATCCGTAAATCCGTAAACGCTGCCCCGAAAAGTGGAACCGGGACCGACTTTTCGCGTAAACGGGTAAACGGGTAAACCCGAAAAGTCGTAAACTTGACGACTTTTCGGGTTTTCGCGTAAAGTGCGTGCTTCCTCCTCCGCTTGCAGCAACTTCTCCTCGCCAGCTTAGGCTGGAAAGGGCGACTGAAAGTGCAACTGGAGTGCTGACCCGCTCAATCCAGCTGGGCCTCCCCCTACACACCTTTGTTGATACGGCCTTTCCCATACCTCAAATACAGTGCCTCGGGAATCCTGTAATCGTAAAGCTGTTCTGCTTTCCTGAACTTCTTTGTCACGTTGATGTTCGTGAGGTTCTCCCATTCGTCATCTTCAAGTTCAACGACATTGACCTTGAGTGTCTTAAACAAACTACGCAAACTTCGGGACACGATCGGTATTGAACCCATGGCCAAGGCCTCATAGGTGCGGTGGCAGTCTTGCCCTTTGTCAGGCGGAGAAGCCACGAACTTATGATTGCCCAGTTCCTCAAAGTAGGCATGCTTGTCCATGGGCTTGCCAATATGCATGACTCGGCGCTGACGTGTTAAGTGTTCCATTAAGCTTGCCCTCTGCTCGGAAGTCGCAGACCCTGCATAGAGCAGCTTGTGCGAACGTTGCGAAAAATTCGGCGCAGCCTTGCGCACAGCCAGAATGCTCTTCTCTTGGCTGACAGCGCCCCCTAGCCGCTCTAGCTCAGGCATTCGCCTGTGCTTGCAGCAGCTTAGATTCAGAACGGCACAGCTGTTGCGGGCCTTTGTGGCTAACTTTTTCTCAGTCCGCGGGATCTCAACCCGCAGTCTTTCATTTCTGCTCCTACTGGAGCCTCACGTTGACCACGACTCAGTCAGAGCGATGGCAGGTGGAGGAACTGGCGGACACGGACGCGCATCGTGGGCTCCGTGGCATCGCTCCTGGGCTTTGCCTCCGTCTGGAGGGAGGGCCCACTACGGCGCTGCTGTCCGTCCGCCCCCGAAGCGTGACCAACATGTGTGGCCTCCCTTGGTCCCTGGCCTGCAAGGGACTTCTCTTGGTGGCGCTGGCCCTCCTAGTCTCAGTACCGCTTCCAAGATGGACCTGCAGCACATGCGATGCGGATGCAAAGAGAATGAGGCCAGGCTCTTCTTCTGTAAACATTGTGGTCAGCTCAAGAGTGACTCCGTCCTGTATGGCTCGGCCTGGTCGTCAGGCAAGTCGCTTGCCATGTTCGGTGGCGCCCCCAGCTCCGAAGGGAAGATCGGCGACAAGGGCAGTGCTGGCTCAGGCAAAGGAGGGGTTGGTGCCACCTCGCCTGCTGGCGCTCCCCAGCTCGCCGCTGATGAATACTTGCAGTTGGCGGCCCTACACGACAAGCTTGGCGACGCTCGGAGTGCAGCTGCGCACCGCACCGCTGCTGCGGCGCTGTCGGCGCCCGCCCCAGCGGCAGTCTCGGTGCAGGCGCTGCTCAACAAGGCTCATCAGAAGGCTCGTGCGATCGAGAAGAAGCTCGAGAGCGCGGTCAGCAAGTTCGAGATGCTGGAGGCTCAGCTCGCGGCGCAGAAGGACCAGGTGCTTGTGCTGCGCAGTGACTTGGAGCAGGCCGAAGGAGAACATGGCGAGCTCGTTCGGCGCCTTCATGACGAGCTGCCGATCACGGCACGAAGCTCTGCCTGGAGGACTTGCTGGACAAGAAGCGCTTCTCGCCGATGTTTGATCTTGATGTGGGGGACTGTTTCACGATTGCCGACGACGAGCAGCTCTCACCTGACGAGGCCAAGCAGCTGGCCGATCGCGTGGACCTCTTCAAGTCAGGCATCACGGACATGGCGCGCTCCCTGTTTGCTAAAGCCAAAGCGAAAGTGGATACATTGCGTGAGGAACACGAGCAGCTGTCTCAGCGCATCGCCAAAAAGAGGAAGACGGAAGGTGGTGCGGCGGTCGACGGCGTTGGAGTTCCAGCTGAACAGCCCCCCCCCCCCCCCTGCAGCAGGCACTGGCAAGGACAAGGCTTCAGCGACTGGTACCGGCAGCGGAGACCGCCCAGAAGCAGGACCTGCTCCAGCTCGCGCTGCCTCTGAGCAGGCGGCATCGGCGTCGGCTTCCCCTCCAGCTCCGGCAAGTACCAGGGCGCGTGCTGACAGGATCGCTGGCACGGCCTCTGCTTGAGCCCCTCCTGGAGCCCGCGTGTCTTGAGTTTTTTTCTGGGCCCTGGGATCTCTGGACTCGGTCTTCGGGGATCCTGGGCGCTCGAGACGGCCTGTTTGGCCGCCAGCCCGGACAGCGGTAAACTCCAGGGGGGCAAGGTTTTTTCGTTTAGGTTTAGCCGCTCTGCGGCTCAGGTAGCTCTTTGGCGCAAGCGAGGCCTCCCTCTGGTCTTCGCTTCCTCCTCTGTCGATTCGTGCTCTCAGAGGTTGAAATCTTTTCAGAGTGTCCAGCCGTCAACTCGATGGCGTGACCTTCTGGCTCGTGTGGATTCAGCAGTTTCGGAGGCTGCCGACGACCACCCGTGCCTCCCACTTGTTCGGAAGTGCCAGGCTCCTGTTTCTTTCGCCCGACCCGCGGAGGTGTATCCTGTGATCTCTCTGGGCAAGGCAGCTCCTTGTCGCACCACGCTTGTCAGGCTGCCTCTACCTGCGCCCTCCGCGGTCTGTGGCGGGGGGGGCTTTGGCAGCCCTGGGCCCGTGTCTGGGGGCCTGGTTCCATGCAGCCATGATCTTGGGTCGCCTGGGCCGTCGGCGGACCAGGTGACTCGACATGGTCTGCAATCGCCACCTTTTGCTCGAAACGCTCGGTTTGGTCTCAGAACGTGAGAGCACTGGTCCAGCTGACCTGCGCTTCCTTGGTGAAGGAGCTCGGTCTCCTCAGGCCTGTTTTGATGCTGCGGCCGTCCAGGTCGATTCCGTCTCTCTCAGGGTCCCGACCATCAATTGCAACTCCTGGGGCCGTATTCGCAGTATGATTGAAGGCACTGGTGCGCATGTTCTGCTCTGTCAAGAGCACCGTTTGATTCGAGCTGAAGATATCAAGCAGGCTAGCGCCTGGTGTCTCCGCCGTGGCTGGAAAAGTGAGTGTGTGGTCGCCTGCCACGGCCACGGAGGTGGGGGATTCCTAGGGGGGTGTCGCCATCTTCGTGCGCTCCTGGTTGGGGTGTTTAGAGGTGCCTGGTGGGCAGGTCGTCAGTGGGCGCGCCCTGGTTTGCTCGTTCGAGATTCCTGGATGCCCCCCTTTCCTGGCGGCCTCGGCCTACCTTCACCATTCGGAGGGCCTCTCTGACGGGAACTTGAGCTTGCTCTCGTCTTTGGGGGCGGTGCTGTCCACGGCTGGGAGACCCTGGATTCTTGGTGCTGACTTCAACATGGACCCTGAAGTGCTCCGAGGCTCCGACTTCGTGCAGGAGCTCCGAGGCGCGTTGATTGCGCCTAGCGTTCCGACTCACTATCCGGCTGGTCCTCCTTCCACCTTCGACTATTTCGTGGTGTCAGGAGGCCTCAGCAAGGCCATTGAACGGATCGACACGAGGTTGGGCACGGAGCTCTCGCCTGATCGCCCTGTGGACCTGCTGTTTTTAAGGAGCTCGGAGTGTTGAAAGCTCTTTCGTTCCGACGGCCGCCCCCCCTGCCATGCGAGGCCGTCATCGGACCTGCCCCCTGCCCTCCTGCGCGGTCTGGGGTTCAGCTTCTCACTGATGCTGCTTTCCACCGCGTCGACGAGGGCAGGCCTCATGAGGCTGCTTCGTTGCTTGGCCCCCTGTACCAGCGTTGGGCGGACCTTGCTGAGAAGGAGCTTGTACCGCTTGTAGGCGAGGCTTCCTTCAAATATGGGTCCCGCGGGTTGGGCCCTCAACTTGCGTGGAGGCCGGTCATTGCCAAAGACAGCCAGGTGCGTCACCCGTCTCATCGGTCGATTGTTTGGCTCGGTCAGCAGCTCAGAGCCTACATTCATTCCCTCAGAGCCGGCGCTCAGATGTCTGGCACTTTGAAGGCCCTGTTGTTGCAGCCTCCTCAGTCCATTGACAACGCTAAGGCAGATTACGCACCACTGTTCAGCTTGGCGAAGGAGGCTGTGACGCGCTCGGTTGACCCCTCCTCCTTTGCTGACGTGCACACTCAGGTGCACGAGGCCGCTCAGGCCGCCGACTCGAAGTCCCTCGCCAAGGCCCGTTCTGATTGGAAGGCCTGGTTGAATGTCGGAGTGCAGTCAGGAGCGACAAGAGTCCATGCCCTCCTTAGGGACCCCGCCCCGTGGGTGGCCAGCCCGACCCTTTCGGCTGCTGGCAGCGTGGTTTCTGACCCCCTCTCTTTATTTCAAGCTGAAGGGGACCGCTTTGCTTCGTTGTGGGGCCCTGGGATCGGTGCGGCGTCGGCCTTTGAGAGGCCGGAGAGCCTTCCTCGGTTGGGTGCCCAACAAATCAGGGACATTTCGAAGTCGTGCAAGACTGCGCCTGCCGTCTCGGTGGATGGGCTCCATTGCAGGCGCTTCTCGCTCCTTTCTGATCCCTGTCTGGTCTGCCTGGGAGCTCTTTTCAGCCTCATGGAGGCCTTGGGCGTTTTGCCCCCTCAGATTGTCGTGGCTCTCTTGGCGCTGTTGCCGAAGCCGACTGGGGGTTACAGACCCATAGGGGTGTTCTGCTCCTGGTACAGGGTGCGGGGGCGCTGCAGGCGACCCTTGGCCCTTGCCTGCGAGTTGGCCCACCCCCGTGAGTACTGGGCTGCTGGCCAGCATCGGGGAGCAGCCGACGTAGTTTGGCGCCCGGCTGTGACGGCTGAGGCGGGAGTTGCTCAGGGCGAAGCCAGTTGCAGCATATTCTTCGATATCTCGAAATTCTACGAGAACATTAACCTTAAGCGTTTAGAAGACCGTTGTCGAAGGCTCGGCTTCCCGATGGTGATTGCCAGGCTTAGCATCTTTGCCTACAAAGTTGGTCGTTTCCTCAGCATGGGAGGCTGGCTCGAGGGCCCTTATTTCTGTGTCAACGGTATCATCGCTGGCTGTTCTATGGCCACCACCCTCATCCGTGTCTATTGTATGGAAGGGTACGACAGCATCCCCCTTGCGCCATCTGCTTCTTTGGACGTCTACATTGACGATCAAGGTTTGTCTTCGACTGCCCCCCCGAAAGTCGTCATCGATTCGATCGTTCGAGGGGCCCAGGCGCTTGACTCTGTCGTTCAGGGAGTGTTCGGGTGCTCCTTCGCTCTCGAAAAAGCGGCCATTGTGTCCACCTCTAAGGGCGTTGGATCTCAGGTGCTTTCTCGTCTCAGCCATCTGCGTCAGCACTGCGCAGGTTCAGCGGTCAACCTTGGAGTTGACTACTCGGCAGGCCGCGCTGTTAGAGTTGCTGGCCGTTCGGCCAAGATGAAGGCCAGGCTCGCCAAGGCTGGCAGAGCGGCGCGGCGCCTAGTGCGGCAGGCTAAGGTGCTTACTCGGTCTTCTGCCTTAAGGTCTTTTCAGCAAGGCCCCTGGTGGGGGGCCTCGTACGGCACTGAAGTCACGGGCATAAGCGATCGCGACCTTAGCTTGCTGCGCCGACGCCTCTTTAGTGTTGTGCGCCCGCGCAGTCGGCTGAGGTCTCTCACGGTGTGCGCCCTGCTGGACAATGACCCGACATGGCGTGCGGCCGCGGCTCCGATTCTCAGATGGAGCAAAGAGATCTGGCTCAGTCAGACTGGTGCTTTCCGCTGGGCGATGTCCCTGCCCACCTTGGGGAATGCCTGGTCAGCCAGTTTTTTCCGACTCCTGTTGTAGTTTGGAGAAAGGTGGTTGGGCCGATCACGGCTATGAGGATGTCTCTTGTGAGATTAGGGTGGGGCATGTCTAACTTCGTGACCTTGGCCGACGATTTCGGGAAATCCATCCCCCCTTGGGAGTTTCTCGCCTGCTCTTGTTGGGTCCCTGGTCCGAGCGGGATACCTTAGGATGTTGGAAAGAGATGCTGCTGCCAGTCGGGGTATCTCTCATCGTCTGTGTTATGACGTCGTTAAGGAATCTACCGCTCCTCGTAGCAAGCGTTATACGGCCCTTCAGAAGGCCAGGATTAGAGCCTTCTCCACGGAGGCCATCATGACTCATGCTCGTGCCACGTCCCTTGGGTACGATGTCGATCCGCGCTGTGTTCATTGCGGGGCTAACGACACCATCTTTCATCGGTTGTGGGAATGCCCTTTTTCCTGAGGCTGTTGCCGCTCGGCTTGAGGCTACTGACGGTGAGGTGATTGATGCCGCCTTGTCTGCTAAGGCGTCTGGAGATGATGACGAGCTTTTTGTCTTTATATCTGGCGCCTTTCGGCGCCCCGCCGGCCCCTTCCCTCGTGCGTCCGACGAGCAAGATGATGGTCCGACAATGATCTGGCATAAGATGCCTGAGACGGGCCCTGACGGAGCCCCTGTCAGCAATCGAGTTTTGGGGTCCCTTTTTGTGGACGGCTCATGCTCCCGTCATACTGTCAAGGAGCTGTCTAGGGCTGGCTCTTCCGTCTGCATGGTCGACAATTCGGGTGATCTTGTGGCCGAGCTGAGGGCCGCTGTTCGGGGCCCTTACCCTCAGACTCCTCAGAGTGCTGAGTTCAGTGCGTTCACCTGGGCCAATGCGATTTCGACCCATCCTTCTGAATGCCATGTGTATTTTGATTGCAGTGATGTGGTCCAGACTGCTGCGCTTGACAAGCAGCTGCAGCTCTCTCCTAAGCGTATGTATCCAGGGGCTTTTCTTCAGGTGCACGGTCAGGTTTCGGGGATTGCGGCCTGTTCCAAGGTGGCGACCCACCTTGACGTGGACACGCCTGGGATTTCTGCTGAGGAGCGGTGGCGCCGTCTTGGCAACCACCACGCCGACGTGGGTGCCAAGCATGCGGTCCGCCCTCACCCCACGGATGATTCTCTCTTGCAGGAGGCCGATCGCCTTGTGAAATTGGCGAAGGCCACCTTGAAAGTTGCTGTGCATGTGCTCCCTCTGTGGCCTCCTGTGGTCCTAGATGGGGTCTGCAGGCTCCCTGAGGCGAAGAGTCCGAAGAAGGAGGTGCCTGGGCACGACTGGAGGTCGTGGGGCGGAATCTGGAGGTGCGCTCACTGTTTGAGGGGGAACCGTTCTTTTTCGAAGCCAACTCCAGGTTCCTGCTCTCGGTCCTCTTTAGTCCACGCCGACTCTCAGGACGCTTTAGGCCATCGAGCGGTGGCCTTTCCGTGCTCGGACAATTCTGTGCTCTTCATTTGTCTTAGATGTAAGTGCCTTCCCTGCGGAGGCCATATTCGTGGACTCGGTAAACAGTGTGTTTCGCTTCCTTCGCGTGCGTGCAAGCAGGGTTGGGGATATTTGTGCAAAGGCCTCCACCCCAGGTATCAACTGAGGATTTCTGGCGTTAAGGTGGACACTGAAGGCCTGATCCAGTGTTTCAACTCTGCTGCTGCCCTCGCTGCTCTCGCCGATGGAGTTTCGGAGGTGCCTGTGCAGGCATCCAGCTCGAGCGGTCTAGTTGCGTCGGCTGAGGAGCCGCCTGTCCTGTCTGTCGCTGCTGCGCGGCGGAACGAGGCGACCTCCTCTTCCTTGCCCTTCTCGGGCCAGGGGGAAGGTGTCAGTGCGCTCGCTGTCGCCCCGATTGCTTCGCGCTTGAGCGAGGTGGTCACCTCTCCGTTACCAGGTACTGGTCATGGAGATGTGGGCAGTGCGCTCGGCCGCGACGATTTTGTTTTCACTGCGGAGGAAGAGGCGGCTCGTTTCCTTTACCAGTCGGAGACTTCTGTCCCGTTTGCACAGGCTCCTGCCAGTTCATCTCAGAGTGACGTTCGGTCTCAGAGGGATTTGCTTCGGCCGGTGCGGCTTGCTCTCACGACTGAGGAGGATGAGACGACTCTTGTGACTCCTCCTGCTGCTGAGCTGGTCGATTCCGACTAGCTCTCCTGTTGCCGCGCCTGCACCCCCCTCCGTTGCAGGCGGTCTGGTCAGGGCTCTGTCCCTGTGTGAAGGTGAGAGCGTGGAGTTCAAAAAAAAAATGACAGCGTCCCCTGTCGCCCCATGACTGTGCGAATGGTAATCCAGGCCGAGGGGCATGGGAACCACCTTGGGGAGCTCGGCCTTTCCGTTTGCAGCGTTTTGGGCAAACCATTTGATCAGGCGGGGATCTGCGGCAAGCTTGGCAACGCCAGATTCGCCCAAATTTTGAGTGGGCGTCTCAGTAGAATCTCCAGTCACGAGCGTGAATTTCATAGTCACGTGCGGCAACACCTGGCGCACAAACCTTTGCAATGCACTCGTGACCACGTATACTGAAACACCGTCGCCGAAATATCTCATGTCTCAAAGAAGAACAATCTGCCTCAACATGAACTTTCGACGGTCCGCGTAGATTTCTTGGATTCGCCCTGGACCCCCTTCCCTGGCACGCGGAGTGCGCCAGGGCGGCGCCGGAGGCGCCGCCAGGGGGGACCAACGCCGATGCAAGAAATCCGCGCGGACCGTCACCAAAACTTATGTTTATGCAGTTGTGTTCCTCTTTCGATGTCGTTATGGTTCAGGGCGGTAGACGCGTTTCCCTTCAAGTCCAGGAGCATCAGCCGAGCCCCGCTCTGCAAGGTGTTGGGCCGGACGCTGCATGACTTGAGCAGGCCTCGCGAACTGACCAACGTGGCATCTTCCTCGTCGCGCTGCGTGCCGACTGTCAACGTGGACACAGTGCAACACGGCAAAATCGAACAGGCGATGGCAAATATAATAGATAACATCATTTGAGATATCAAATTTGATGCAAACTTTCAAGAATTCGCAAGTAGCATACAGTGCCTTGGGCCATAGTGGCTACGGATCGGCCTGGGGCCCTCTTGGGGTCCTTTTGGATCCTCTTATGGCCCTCGGGGCCCTCTTCGGCCCCTCTTGGGCGCTCTGCGGCCCTCTTCTTAGAGCCCACTTGGGCCATCTTGGGGCCCTCTTGGGAACCTCCTGGGCCGTCTTGAGCCAGGCTCACTTGCCGACGAGGGTTCACATCACCCTTTGCACAGGGAGCCTTGGCGATCAGAGGTCTTTACGTCTTCGTTCGTGCTGGGCGCTCTTTTGGCGTACAAGGCTTCTCACGTCATCGGGAACTTTTGGGATCCTTGGCGTTCAAAGCTTCTCACGCAACCGCCTGCCCTGGACATGTTCCGCCACCTGGACCTATTGGGCGAACCTTGGCGTCAAACCTGTGTCCGTCACTAGGAATTCGGCCTCTCCGAGCCCTCCTCCTTTTGGACCGTTTTGGAGCCCTTTGGGGGGCCTTGGGCCGTCTTGGGGCCCTCTCGCGGCCCTCTTGGGGGCCTCCCAGGGCCCTCTTAAGGCTCTCTGGGGAGCCCCTTTGGGGCCTCTGGGCCCCTCTTGGGCCGTCTTGGGGATCTTCTGAGGCCGTCTTGGGGCACTCTTAGGGGCCCAATGGGCTGCTGTGGGGCAATATGCCAGGCATGTTGGTTGGTCGGCAGCCCGAAAAGGCGAGGACGACGAGAATCCAAAACACCTTCAAACACCAGAGCAGAATCAGTGTCGTTGGCCTCCTGAGGCCATCTGGGGTGTTCTCTTGAGGGCCTCTGAGGTCGTCCTGGAGCCACCTCTTGGACCATCTTGAAGACATCTGAGGCCATCGCAACACCCTTGGACGGTCTTCGACCCTCCTGGAACGCTCTTCGACCGTTTCGGAACCCTCTTGGACCTCTCTTGGGCTGTCTTGGGGACCTCTTGGCCGATTTTTGGGGCCTGTTGGGCCGTCGTGTGGGGTTGGTTTACCCCGGTCCCGGCCCGCTTCAACCCTCCCCTGGAACCCCTCCTGTCGCCCCATCAGAACGTCATTACTCGTACCTGGCTCGCTCCGTCACCTGGGCCGGCACGGGAACGGACAGAGCGCTTCAGGTCACCGCTCGCTCTTGGGAGCCTTGGCGTCACGAGCTTATTACGTCATCGTTCGCTCTTGAAGGCCTGGTGTGAAGAGTTGTTCACGCCGGCGTTCACTCTTGGGAGCCTTGGAACTAAGCGCTGCTAACGTCACCGTTCGCTCTTTGGAGCCGAAGCGTTAGGAGCTTGCTGCTCCAGTGCTCGCTCCTGGGAATCTTGGATTCAAAACTTGTTACGCCACCGGCTCGTGTGAAAAGAGCTATCCAGTCACCTGGGCTGTCTGGGGGGGGTCCTCTGGGGCCCTTTGGGGTGTCTTGGGGCCCTCTTGGGCTGTTCTGGGGCCCCCTGGCGATATCTTGAAGGGCTTGGCCCGTCATGGGCCCCCTTAGGACCTCGTCGGCCCTCTTGGTGGCCTTCTGCGGCAATGCCGGGGCTCTCTTGGGAGCCTCTCGGTGCCCTGCTTGGCCCCTCATCGGGCTCCCTGTGGCCGTCCGGAGGCCCTCTTGGGCTGTCTTTGGGCCCTCTTGGGAGCCTCCTGGCCCGTCTGGGGGCAGTCTCGGAGGCCCTCAGAGCCGTCTTCGGCAGATCTGGGCCCGAAAAGGTGGGAACCTCCAAATCAATGAACAACCTATGGAACATCAATGTTGTTTGCATCTTGGGTCCCCAAAGACCGTCCTGTGGCCATCTGCGGTTATCTTTGAACGCTCTTGGCAAGTCGTGGGCTCTCTTGGAGCGGCCTCTCGGCTGCTTTTGAAGGCCAATTGGGCAATATTAGGGGGAAAGTGTTGTGTGTTACGCCGACGCGGTCGCGCTTATCCTCTACCCTGGAACCCCTCCCTGAAGCCCTAGAGGGCTTCGCCCTACCATAACGTTTTCCCGCCACCGTTCGCTCTTGGGAGCCTTGGCGTTCAGAGTATTGTTCACGCCACCGCTCGCTCTTGGGAGCCTTGGCGTTTAGAGTTTATTCCGTCACCGTTCGCTCTTGAAGGCCTGGTGTGAAGAGTTGTTCACGCCGGCGTTCACTCTCGGGAGCCTTGGAATTAAGCTCTTCTTGCGTCACCGTTCTCGTTGTTGGAAGCCTTGTCGTTAAGAGCTGTTTGCGTCACCGCTCGCTCTTGGGAGCCTTGGCGTTCAGAGCTTCCTGGGCCATTGTTCGCTCTTGGGACCCTCGGCGTTCAAAGCAATGTACGTCACCGCGTCGTGCAAAAAAAGATGTTCCAATCATCTAATGCCCTTGGGTACCTTGGCGTCTTGCGTCCGTCATTGGGTCGTCTGAGGGGCGTCCTCTGGGGGGTCTCGGGGGACTTGGCCGTCTTAAGGCCCTCTTCGGACCCTCTTGCGGACTTCCTACGGCACTTTGGGGGCTCTCTTGGGGACCTCTTGGGCCCCACTTCACCCGTCTAGGGGCTCCCTGTGGCCGTCCCGGGGCCCACTTGGGCCGTGTTGAGGTTTTCTTGGGAGCCTCCTGGGCCGTCTCGGGGCAGTCTTGCAGGCGTCAGATCCATCTTCGACTGATCTGGACCCGCAAAAGCGAAAAGCCTCAAATCCGTTTTACTGCACATTTATGTGTGTTGCTTTCCTGGGCCGCCTGGGGCGTCCTATTTGGAAACTGTCGGGCCGTCCTAGTTAGGGGCCTCGTGGGCCGTCTCGGGGGGCTTGGGTCGCCTTGGGCCCATCTGTCTGTCATGTGTTATTCTCTTGCAAAGGGTAACTAGAGCTCCGACCACTTTATTTCGGCGTCGTCGCACCGCCCTCACGCGTTGATTTCATCTCAGCGTCGCACCGCCCCGACCGCACCGCACCGCACCGCCCCGACCGCACCGCCCCGCCCCGCCCCCCCGCCCCTCCCCTCCCCAGCAACCCAGCGCACCGCCCCCTCCGCCGCGACCACTTTATTTCGGCGTCGTCGCACCGCCCTCCCCCTCCCCCGTCGCACAGTCCTCACCCCCCCCCGCCCCTCCAACTCCTCAGCAGCTCTTTCGGCGTCGTCGCACCGCCCTCACGCGTTGACTTCATGTCAGCGTCGCACTTCCCCCCCCTCCCCGGCCGCCCAGCGCACCGCCCCCCCCGCCCCGACCACTTTATTTCGGCGTCGTCGCACCGCCCCCCACACCACCATCTCCCCTCCCCGCCGCCCAAGCAACCCAGCGCACGCCCCCTCCGCCGCGACCACGTTATTTCGGCGTCGTCGCACCGCACTCACTCCCCCCCCGTCGCGCACCGCCCTCACCTCCCGCCCCCCCCCCCTTCCCCAGCAGCCCAGCGCACCGCCCCCTCCGCCGCGACCACTTTATTTCGGCGTCGTTGCACCGCCTTCCCCCCCCTCACCTCCCCCCGCCCCGCTCCCCCCTCGCCACCTCTCCCCAGCAGGAGAGCGCACCGACCACTCCGCCGCGACCACGTCATTTAGGCGTCGTCGCACCGCCCTCACCCCAGCGTTGCCCAGCAGCGTTGACTTCATGTCAGCGTCGCATCGCCCCGACCGCACCGATCCGCCCCGCCTACCCGCCCTCCCCCTCCTCTCCCCCGCAGCCCAGCGCACCGCCCCCTCCGCCGCGACCACATCATTTCGGCGTCGTCGCACCGCCCCCCCCGTCGCGCCGCCCTCTACCCCCCCACCGTTCCTCCGTGTCCCCAGCAGCCCAGCGTCCTCCTCCTCCGCCGCGGGCCGCGACCACTTTATTTCGGCGTCGTCGGACCGCTCTCACCCCCCCGACCCCCCTTCCCGAGCAGCCCAATGCCCTTCGGCGTCGCACCGCCCCCCCCGCCCCGACCACTTTATTTCGGCGTCGTCGCACCGCCCCCCCCCGTCGCACCGCCCTCACACCCCCCGCCCACCCCCTCCCCAGCAGCCGAGCGCACCGCCCCCTCCGCCCCGACCACTTCCTTCTTTTGCACAGGGTGTATAGAGCTCCGACCACTTTATTCCGCGTGCACCCCCCCCCCCCCGCGTCCCCAGCGCCAGAGTGGGACCCCCGCGCCGTGGCTCTCTTCCCCGAGCCCCCCCGCGCCCCCCAGCGTTCCAGCAGAAGCCCCGCCCACTGCCCCCTCCGCCACGAGCACTTTATTCCGCGTCGCACATTTCCCTACCCCGCCGCGCCCTCAGCGCCAGAGTGGGACCCCCACGCCGTGATTCTCTGCCCCGAGCCCCCCCGCGCCCCCATCGTCCCAGCGGGAGCCCCGCCCACTGCCCCCTCCGCCACGAACGCTTAATTCCGCCGTCCCCAGCGCCCCAGTTGGACCCCCGCCTCGCGGCCCTCTGCCCTAAGCCCTGCCCAATGCCCCCTCCGCCCCGATAGTTTTATTCCGCGTCGCGACGCACGCCACCTCCCCCCCTCATCTCCGCGCCCCCAGCGCCCCAGTGGGACCCCCGCCCCGTGGCCCTCTGCCCCAAGCCCCGCCCAGTGCCCCCTCCGCCCCGACAATTGTATTCCGCGTCGCGACACACGCCGCCTCCCCCCCCCTCATCTCCGCGCCCCCAGCGCCCCAATGGGACCTCCGCCCCGTGCCCCCTCCGCCCCGAGCACTGCATTCCGCGTCGCGACGCACGCCCCCCCCCCCCTCCTCTGAATCCCAGAGAGCCTGCAGAGGTCTCTGAAGTTCTGGAACTTGCTCACCTCGCTCTCCAGGGATGTCCAAAACTGATGTTCAAGATTTACTCGTAAATCTGAATCCTGCTTCACACGATGAGCACCTTTTGCTCTCCTGAGACGATCGCGGCCCCAGTGCGCGATCTGTGCAGCTAAATTCAGCTGCCTAGGTAAAACAGGCCCGCCCACCCACACCTTGAGCCAGTGGGCGGCGGTCACAGAACACGGCAGACCATGAACGCACAGAGAAGCATCTAAAATCTAATCAGCATACGTGCCTGCTACTCTGTGTTCCTTTCAGACAGGCGGAAAAGAAGCTGCCGTGTTCACGGGGTCATCACGACCCTGCCGAGAGCTGCTCGGCTCCACATTGCCGTCCTCTGTCTGGATCTCCCTCGGGAGCTCCTGCTGCTGCCTGGATTTCCGGCGCTCCTCGAAGACTTGCTTGGCGGCTGCAGCGTCCTCGGGCTTCGCGGCATCGAAGATGCCCTTGCCCAGGGCGGCCCGTTTTCGTGCACTCATGAAATTCCCGTCGTAGATGAGCCTCCATTCCTGCTTCTCCAGGAACAGCTTGAGGACACCGAAGGCTTGCCAGCTGCCCTTCGTGAGCCCGTCCGAAATCTGCGCGTGGGAGTGCACCCGCCTGACCACGGTCTTCCCTTCATCGAGAGCATTCCGAAGAGCCAGGGCCTCGATCGCTGCACGTCGCTCCTCGAGCCCGAGTCCAGCCGACTGTGACCGTACCACCCAGTCGTAGAACGCCTTGCAGTCCGTGACCAGCACCGCTGGCAAATGATGGAGCAACGTCATCTTCTCCTGGATGGGAGACTTGTCCAGCAGTATCTCGGCCAGCACCATGCGCACCATGCATTGTTCACCTTCAGCGTCTCCAGCCCCCTGAACTTCTGCTGCCAGGCTTGAGCGAGCCACGCGTCCGAGTTTCTTAGAGCCCCAGTCGAGCACGGTGAACTGCGACTTCTCGCCGTCCATGGCCTTCGTGGCCGCGATGGCGGTGAGGTAGCCACCTTGTGAATGGCCGTCTGGCCGGCTAGCCCAGGCTGCGTCGCGCCACGTGAAGACGGCCAGGTCGTCCAAGTCATGGCGGTGGATCTGAAGTCCCATGTGTTGGTTCTGCTTGATCAGCTTGACGATGTTGTTGGCGGCCGTGAACAGACTGTGGGTGCCCTCAGGAATCTTCGACTGGAGCTCTGCGACCCACGCGAGCAGGAAGGGCATGGTGTTGACGCCCAGCCAGTAGACCTCTCCGCAGAACGCACGCAACACGGTCTGGTCCTTGTCGCGCAGGTTGTCCGTCGGTCGGTGCCGTCCTCCGTCAGGTGGCCGTACTTCGGTGATCTTGTCGGCGTAGGCGCGCTGGTGCAGGAAGAACCCCTTCTCGTTCTCCTCGATGGTGACCCCGCACTGTTCCAGGCAGGTGATACCGTCATTCATGTCCTCCCAGGTGCCCCACTTGTAGAGCTTCCGGATCTGAGACACGATGTTGGTCCACTTGGGGTGAGCGGTGTCACCTGCCAGAATGAAGTCATCCACGCGTGCCATGACCATACCGATGAGGCGTCTGGTCTGTGGGCACCGCACCTGCCACATGCACGGATCCAGCTCGCAGGGCTGCAGTCCGAGCTTCTTGAAATCGACCTTCACCGTTTCCCACCAGTCACGCGGGGCCTCCCCGATGCCGTACCCGGGCTTGACAACGCGTAGTAGCTCACCCTCCTTCACCTTGAAGGCCTTCTTCAGCACGGCGTCGGGTTCAATGAACAAGTCCTTGTCCAATTCGTTAGCCTGCAGGAACGCCGAGGTGACGTCACCCTCGATCAACTTCCAGTCGTGTGCAGCCGCGATCGTGAGCATCACGTTGCGAGCCCGTCTAGATGCAGTTGGGCTAGCCGTAGGCTCCTTCCCGAGGTCCTTCGTTTGGTAGCCGAGGAGCACGAGTCGCGCCTTGGCCCTGCCGTCCGCCTTCCTCGTGAAGAGCCACCGCGCCCGGATGATGTCGGCACTGTCCTTGACCTCAGACGCGGGTACTGGTCGGAGTCCACGATGCTGAAGCCAGTTGTCCGTCTCCTTAGAGATGGCCACTTCGAACTCTGCCCTCTCGGATACGTTCATCTTGGACCATGAGAGCTCGAGCTTGTCCTTCCGGCGCTGGTTGGCGACGAAGCTGTTGAGAACTGCCTTGTCGACGCTCCTGTCGGCCCCCTCGCTCTTGATGTGCTCGAAATATGCTGTCTGGTGCTCGTCTATCCCCAGGAGAATGTCCAGGTCGTCCTTCTGGAGGTCCGCCCAGAGCTCGCTCTCGTCCATGTCGTTGTTGTCCTTCCGACGCTTCTCCGGCGGCTGATAGAGGTCCAGCTCCGGTCCACGATGTGTCATGCGGTACCGAGGGAGCGCCGGTGATGACGAAGCAGAAGGCTCTCTTGGTGCTGCTGGTGTTGCTTCCTCAGAGGCTGGTGCTTCAGCTGGAGGTAGGTCCACTGGCGGAGGCTGCTGAGGTATCTCTGCTCCTGCGGGTGGTGCCATCTCCTGGTCCTGAGCGTCTTCGGAGGGTTCGCCTGGTTCTGCTTCTGGTTGAGCCATAGACCTCGGTGTAGTGTGGCTCGACTCCGGTATGTTCGTCTCCTCCTCCGTGACAGCGGCAGGTGGCGCTTCTGCCTCGTCTCCTGGTTGGAATGTCTCGGTGGTCCTCGGGGGCTCGTATGCTGTGAGGTCCAGGCGGCGCTGCTCCACCAGGTCCTCGAACGTCCCAGCCTTGGCGGTCTCCAGGATCTCTGTCATGGTCTTCCCAAGGGAGGCCTGCTTCTTGAGTTCGGTCAGCATCTTCTCCGTCTCGGAGGCTGGTCGTAGATGCTCGGGCGCGCACCTGATCAACGAGTTCCAGTGGGCGATCCAGACGACCGAGGTCACCCGGGCACGGCCGTCGATATGCCGTTTTTCCTGAACGAGCACTCGTGCAGGTCCGTACCACCCTCCTTTCTTGCCAGGTCGGTTCTCCCGTCCTTTGCCGTCACGCCAGAAGTACACGAGGTCGCCGGCCTCCCAGGTCTGGTAGATCTGGTTCCTGGCTTGCTCGGCATGGCGTCGCCGTTCTGCATACTCGCACTCGAGGTAGCTCTGGCGGGCCAGAAGTCGCCTCTGCTCCTGCGTCTCGCCGGTCTCCCCGTCGATGATGGCGAAGGGGTTATTCGTGGGGGCCATCCCTGTGACGCCCAGCGCGTGCTCGAATGGGGAGTGATTTCCCACCTTGTCCATGGAGTTGATCGCACTCACGGCCCAGGTGACCAGCTCCTGCGTGCTGCACTCGGGGTCGTGGGTGGCCATCTTCGTCATGAGTCGCTTGAAGAGCTGTATGCGACGTTCCACCTTGCCCATGAGCCAGTGCGCCTCCCCAGGCGCGATCCATATCTCGATCCCATGGTCGGATGCCCACTTCGCGACTATCTGAGAGCAGTGGCACCCTTCTGGGTCCATGCGAAGAAGGGCAGGTTGACGGTAGTGGCTGCACCACGATTCCCACGTAGAAATCACCTCGATGGCTGACCGGTTGCCGCTGCGCTCGCCCTTCTGCCCGTGGTAGGTGACGCTGGTGAGGCCGGACCCCTCGTCGAGGTTCAGGGTCATGCTGTGGGAGGTCTGCTGGGGTGAGAGCCACTCCAGTCCGTCCGTGGCGAGGACTTCGAGCACGCCCGGAATCTCCACGCCTGAGGCTACTCGCGCAGCTTTGGGGAGCTTCCCAATATGACAACCATGGCATTGAAATTGAAGTGCCAGTTGGAGTACAGGGACCGCTGCACCAGAGGCCTTGAGAATATTGTAGAGTGTCTTGTTGCTGGGATGTCCCAGATTGCGATGAAGTCGCGCGAGTCTCTGTTCGATCTCTGAGACCTCCTTCTTCGACAGCTCCGTCTTGACGCCCAGGCCTTTGATGGAAGCCTCGGCGGTCTCCATCTCGATGTCCTCCTCCGTGTTCAGCTCCCCTAACTCGACCGACGTCTCGACGTCGTCCTCTTCTGGAATCTGTTCCAGGCCCGCATAGATCTCCTTGCCGTACTGGGAGGCTACGTTCTTCTTAAGGATGTTCTTGGCCCAGGCTCGGCACATGGCCGAGGGATAGTAGGCTGTCTGAGCCACCAGATGTCCGTCCTCGATGGCACGATGTAGGTGATTATCTCCTCGTCCCGTTCGGTTGCTGCAGAGCCGGCCCACCTTCGCTCCAAAGTCGGGGTCGGTAGAGCATACTCGCCATGCCTTCTTCACCAAGAGTCCTGACCTCTCGTCACGAAGTCCGTAGGCACACCCATGGATGATCGTCTCGCACATCTCTGACCGCATTGTCTTAATGGAGGGTGACCTCGACCAGCTGCGACTATTCCAGGGCTGCTCTAACTCAACGTGGCAGTCCACGATCTTCTTCGCCTCCTCGTACAGTGCCAGGCACCCCCGTTGGATCCTGCGCGCCTGTCGGATCTTGTCCGAGAGCTGCTTTCTCTGGGCCTCCGTCCTCTGGTTCAGGTTCTGGAAGGGACAGTCTGCGGTGCACGGGGGGCTCAACACCAACCGTCGAGGTCGTGCCATTCGAAGTAGATGCATGGCCCTGCGGACGCCTGTGGCCGTGCCCATGTCATAGCCGTTGAAGAGCCCACACCGCATCACCTGGCCATGCTGCGCCTCCACCGCCTTGCCGAGCGACGACTCGTTCGGGCAGCACACCTCCATGAGATCCGCGCGCTTGGTCTTGGTCAGGTTGACGGTGTTCTCGCCGATCTCGAAGTAGATCTGGTCCACCACCTTGGTCTGCGCCTGGTAGAATGTGAGGAGGTCCGCGTCGGTCAATGGCTTCAGCGGCCCCGCTTCTTCGCGGTCTCCGTCGCGTCCGAATCGTCCAGCATGCTGTCGTCCGGCACTTGCAGAAACACCCAGGGCCCCGCGGGGTCGCACTTTGCCGGCTTCGACGCCAGGCGCCTCCACCGCATCGCCACGGCCTGACTCCGGATGTCCCCCAGCGCTTCGCCGAAGGCTTCCTTCTCCGAGGTCGATCCGTCCGGATGCAGGCGTAGGCATCGATGACTCTTGCCTCCGCGGCAGCTGCATCCCGTGATCGCGCGGTTGGGCGCCTTGCAGCATGAGCACCTCGATCGAACTGTTGAGCTCGGTGGTGTCGGAGGCGGTGGCGGTGGTTGTAGCGGTGGTCCTGCTGGTGGAGTCGCTGGCACCGGGTAGCTCATCCCCATGTACACTTCGTGGGGCGTCGCAAGTAGGGCAGCAGGAGGCCATGCAGGATGAGGTCCGTACCGTGCCTGGAGTCGAAGGCAGTAGTGGGACATGCCGCCGTTGCAGCTGCACCCTCTCCGAGTCCGTCCCACCGCTCCGCAGCGCTGGCATCGTCCTGGTGGCTGGTACTGCACTGGTGATCCCGTAGGACTGTTGATCGGCATATGCAGCGGTGGTGTTGCTGGCGCTGAGCCCGCTGTCGACGGAGCTGACGTCGGCGTGGCAGCCGAGGATTCTGCTCGAGTCCTCGGACGCGCCCACTCTGGTCGTGCTGACGGCGGCTGCTGTCGCGAAGAAGAGTCTCCACATGACATCAGACGCGTTCTGATATGTAGGATATGGAAAAACTGAACTGCTGGGACTCTCGGAAGTTCCTGCACGACATTTTTGGGCCACACGAGGCTGAGGAATATCGTTTAACTTCTTGGGGTTCTGTTCAGGGTCCTCCTCTGGCAGGTGCATCTCGTTTCTCCTGGAAGGTCCCCCGAAGCTGACCCTAGTTGTCCTCTGGGTTCCCCTAGGACTTTCCCTCGTACTAGAACCTCTTGTTGCCTCCGAAGTCCCCGAGAATGTCCAAGAGCTCCTCCACCTTGTCCCACTCGAACCCCTGGTCGTCATCGGTCTCGGGCAGCTCGAACATTGAGACGTCGTGGGTCTTCTCTCGGTCGCACATCGCGTCGCTCTCGGTCGGCTCGAGGGGGGCTGGCTCGAGGTCTCTCCAGGAGATGTGGGCCCTCTTGAGGTCCTCGAGGCTCCTGGGACGTGGCTGCCCCCTGGACCGGGAAACGAACCCGGGCACCTTGGGCACCTTTCTGTGGGCCCCCCCGATGATGAGGACGACGATGGAGATGATATCTCGCTGGCCGACATCACCAGGGGGTGCTGTCCATAGCGCGCGGCGAGGCAGCCAGCGCAGCCCGTCACGGGCTCCTCCGGCTTTTCGTCCAGCACGATGGAGCCCCGCCCTGCCATGTTGACGTGGCAGTTCTCCAGGGACAAGGGTAGGGAGACCTCGCGCCACCACTGCGGCGTCGAAAGGTTGATCGCCAGGTGCTTGCTCGAGAGCCTCTCGAAGTAGTAGACCTTGTTGCCCAGCGTCGGCAACCCAATCCAGTTGCGGCCACAGTCGACCACTACCTTCAAGTCGTCCGTCAGGATGTCCATGCCCAGGAGAATGGGGACGCGGTTCGCCATCACCGATAGGCTAATGTCTTGGAGCTCCGGTCCCAGGTATGCACGTCCAGAGACCGTCCCCATCGAGCTCTTCTGGAGCCCGTCACCGAAAGTGAAGGAGCAGGTGTCGCCGTGCGCCTCGAACTCAACGTCATGGTTCACCAGCATCTCGTACATGAGGTTCTCTACGCTCTCGACGCCACCGAGGCTGCGCGTGGCTCCAATGTCCAGCACGGCCCAGATCCCCTCGCGCTCGAGCAGGTAGACGTACTCGTCCAGGGCCGACAGGATGAAGCCGTTGTGCGTGTTCGTCGCGCCTCCAGTGGCGCCGCCCCCGACCTTGCCACGGTCGGGACAGTCGCGAGCTCGATGTCCGAACTGCTTGCACACGATGCACTTCATCTTGGACAGATCTCGCGCACCTTCAAAGCGAACTCGTCGATCTTGTTGTCCACGCCCACGACCTTTAGCACGTCCTCGGGGTCGCCCCTCTGCGCGAGGCCTCGGCGGTGGAGCTTGTCGTCCATCTTCTCGCGGAACCACCACCGGGTAGTAGTCCCTTGCTACTCGTACTTGTCGAAGGAGATCCCTGGCATCCCTGAAGCTCCGACCCGCTTGGCGAAACTGCGCGAACACCTCGTTGTCCGCTTCCAAGTCGTCGGGCTCCACCTCCTCCTCCTCGTCCGCGAGGTTGAGGAGCTGATCGGCCAGCTCGTAGATCTCCTCCGCTTCCCCGCCAGTCTCGTCCTCGTCCGCCTCAAAGTCGTTCTCGAACAACGCCCGCTCGCGCTTGACCTTGCCGTCCAGCTCCGCAAGAGCCTCCGCTGGGAAGCGCGTGAGCAACGTCTTGTAAGTCTTCGCATAGTTGAAGTCCCCTCCCGCGGTCGCCGTCACCTCGCCTCTGAGCACGGGGGTGAGCCTTGACTTCCGCAGGAACCACCATGTGCGAAGAGGTTTCGCTATCACTTCTTTCACGTCTAGGTCGATGGCCTGCAGCTGGGTCAACAGCTCCCTCTCCTTCTTCTCGAACCGGGCCGCCCAGTCTTGAAAGGTCTCCCCCGAGTTGCGGCCTATCTTCAGGAAGAATTCCTCGGCCAACAGACCCGTGTCGTTGAGGCTGGTGTAGTCCAACTTCTCTAGCACATAGTTGAACACCGTCTCCCAGCCGACTAACTTTCCGTATTCGCCCACCTCGTCTACGACGTCGATCGGGGCAGCTCTCTACGGTGCTCCGAACCCGCGGTCCAAGTGCCCGGACCAGTTGTGGTCCGCAGACGTAGCGGTCGTTCACTCTGATGCTCTTCGCAAACACCGACACCTCGAAACGATAGTTCGACAGCTTCTCTGCCTCACCGTTCCAGGATGGTACCTGAACTCGTGATGGTGCCGATGTCCCTGCTGGCGTCGTCATGGTGACGAGACTGGTGGGAGCCCGTGGTGCGGATACCACGAGCTCCGCTACCAATCTGAATCCCAGAGAGCCTCCAGAGGTCTCTGAAGTTCTGGAACTTGCTCACCTCGCTCTCCAGGGATGTGCAAAACTGATGTTCAAGATTTACTCGTAAATCTGAATCCTGCTTCACACGATGAGCACCTTTTGCTCTCCTGAGACGATCGCGGCCCCAGTGCGCGATCTGTGCAGCTGCAATCAGCTGCCTAAGTAAAACAGGCCCGCCCACCCACAGCTTGAGCCAGTGGGCGGCGGTCACAGAACACGGCAGACCATGAACACACAGAGAAGCATATAAAATCTAATCAGCATACGTGACTGCTACTCTGTGTTCCTTTCAGACCTCCCCACCTGGGATTTGGGCCCCGTTGCTGGGCCCCGAGGGGCGATGTCTTGCCCCCTCTCCCCCCCTCCTCCTCCACCTCCTCCTCCCCCTTCCTTTTTGTGCAACAGCCATGGCGCACGTGCCACCTGTAATTTTTTTGTAATCCTGGCACCCATTGGGGATGGACAAGGAGGTCACTCGGGATACGTGACCAGGGGGGGCAGCCAGAGACTGGCACTTCAAGAAATCCGCCGACCCTGTCGGAGTGTGGAAGACGCTCTTCCGTAGGTCGCCGTCGTTCTCGTCGTCGTGTCGCCTCCGTCGTCTCCTCGTCGTCTCCGTCACTCGTCGTCTCCGTCGTTCCCCATCTCTTTTCCCTGGGCCCTCCTCCTTGAGTGCGCCAGCCAAGCCGACATTGAGCAACGTCGTAGCTGAATCGAAAAGAAGCTCCTTCCTCCTTCCTGTTGATCCCTACACCGCCGGGACGGGGGGGTCCTGGGGGGGGGTCCGAGGGGGGGACCCCGGGGGTGACACCCGGGGGGGGGGCAGATGCACATCCCCCTGGGCGGTTTCCAGGGCCCAGAACAGCCAAGACGCGGCAAGAGTGTCCTAAGAGGCCCCCAAGACGGTCCTCGAGGGCCCCGAATCGCCGAATCTCCGGTCCAAGACGCCAAAGTAGCCTCCAGACGGCACTCCCAAGAGCGCCCTAAGGCCTAAGGTGCAAACATCGTCGATTCCCCCGGCGTTGTTTGAAGATTTTGGCGTTCTCGCCTTGTCGGTTCCCGACGCCCCAAGACAGCCCAAGAAGTCCCCAAGATCGCCCAAGAGGCCAAGAAGGCCCGCAAAACGACCCAATAGAGCTCCAGGAGCGCCCACGCGGCCTCCAAGACAGCACACGAGGCCACCAGAAACGGCTCCGGGAGGGGGCCCGGGCGGGTGACCCGAGCGGACATGTCGAGCCCTGAGCCTGAGAGGCTCCCAGGAGGCCCCCAGATGCCCCCAAGAAGCCCCCCAAGAGACCCCAAGAGGCCCCCAAGAGACCCCCAGGAAGCCCCAAGGCATCCACGAGGCTCTCAAGAGGCCCCCAAGAGCCTCCCAAGGCTCCAAAACTACCCCCAAGAGGCCCCCGAGAGTCGTCGTCGTCGTCTTCGTCGTCGCGAAGTCGTCGTGAAGTCGTCGTCGTCGTCGTCGTCGTCGGTGTCGGTGTCGTCAGTGTCGTCGGTGTCGTCGGTGTCGTCGTCGTCGTCGCCGTAAAGTCGTCGTCGTCGTCGTCGTCGTCGTCGTCGTCGTCGTCGTCGTCGTCGTCGGTGTCGTCGGTGTCGTCAGTGTCGTCGTCGTCGTCGTCGTCGTCGTCGTCGTCGTCGTCGTCGTCGTCGTTCAGGGTCGGCGGCACCAGCCGAAAGGCGCCTCCAACAGAAGTATCAATACAAGCAGAAGCACTTGCCAAATGCAAGGACAAGCAAAAGAAATGCACGATGGGACAATGCAAGTGACAAGGTCGCCTCGCCCGTGCCCCACGCTCCGAAGTCGCTTCAAAGGGCATGCTGCCACTCGTGACGACACGGGTTTGCGCTTAGATGGGAACTGCTGTGGTTGGGGCGTGCACTCCTATGGGACTTCGCTGATCGATCTTTTGCACTCGCGCTGCGAGGGAACGCAGATCAAATGACCACGGGCCCTGTGGAGCCAAACATCCGCGGGGAGTTTGGGGCGAAAAAGGCACTGGCACGCGCAGCGGGCCAGAGAGGAACAAGAGGCGGAAGCTGGCGGAGGAGGCTGGAGTCACATTTCTCCTGCACTGCGTTGTTGGCGCCAAAAACGGCCGGGCATATTCAATTTTGCCGATGGCGCTAGTTTCACTACAACGGCAAATGCTGGACACGGAAATGTGTAGGCAAACGGCCCATCTCAGCGTGCATCAGGATGCCTCTGGCTATTACTACATGAGCTACACAGGCCTGCGACAGCAAACAGCAAACAAAGCCCACCACCCCTCAGGGCGTAGGTGGTTTAACGAATTGTTGTCTTCTCTCTGGCAAAATCCTTTCTTTCCCTGCTCAAGAAAAAGGGGTTACCAGTCTCCCATACCCCCTGGGCCGGGCCTGGAAGGAGGTGGGGTCGAGGGATTAGAGCGACCAAGATGGCCCAAGATTGCCCCAAGAAGATCCTGAGAGCACAATGTGGCGTTCAACATGTCCCACGATACTCGGAGGATAGTTCAAGATAGCATCCGATATACCAAGGCGGCTCCAAGTGCCCTTCGAACCCTCCAAGGGCCTCCCCAAGAGGCCAACCTGCCTCCAAAACCTAGGGCAAACCAGTGTTTGCTGCGTTCTCGCATTTTGGCCTCCGATGGGCCTCGGAGGCCTTAGGATGGCCCCAAGACGGCTCAAGCGAGCCCCAAGAGGGGCCCGAGAGGGCTCCAAAACGGCCAAAGAGGAAAAACACACAACAACAAAAAAACGCGCCAATCAGGTCCAAGATGTCACGGTTGAGCCTCCGAATGGGGGGGGGCTGAATTGAGGACCCCCTCCTTTGTATTCGCGCACTGAAGGCCAAGAGGCCCCCCAGACCCCCCATTGAACCCCACGAGAGCCCCAAAACCCCCAAGTCGAGCCCCAAGAGGGCTTCAGTAGTGCCTCAAGAGGCCCCACGGGGACCCCAAGGCAGCCCGCACGATGGCCGTGATCGTTTTTTTCAATGACCCTTGACAAAAACATACGTTCAAAACCCGACTTGTAACCCTCCTTGTCATCGTTCGTTCCTTCCCTTCTCCTCTCCTGCCGCCTCCCTCCTCCTCTTCCTCCTCCTCCTCCTCCTCCTCCTCCTCCTCCTCCTCCCCCTCGTCATCGTCATCATCATCATCATCAGCATCACCATCATCGTTGTCATTATTTTCGGCATCATCATCATCATCATCATCACCATCACCAGCATCATCATCATCATCATCATCATCATCATCATCATCATCATCATCATCATCATCATCATCATCATCATCATCATCATCATCATCATCATTACCCCCCCTCCTCCTCATCCTCCTCACGTTCCTCGTGCCGCAGTCCTCCTCCTCCTCCTCCTCCTCCTCCTCCGCCTGCTCGTCCGCTTCCCCCTCTCCCTCCTCATGTTCCTCCTCCTCGTTACTTCCCCTCCTATCAATGTTTCCGCCTCCTCCTCCTCTTTTCCTCCTCTTCCTCCTCCTCATCCTCCGCCTCCTCTTCCTCCTACCCCCAAGACGGTCCCAGGAGGTCGAGCATGGCTCAGTATAGCCTCCGACAGACCTCCAAGAGGCTCGCACCAGCCGCAAAAGCGCCCAAAATAGCTGGTCATGGCTCAAGATAGCCTCCGACAACCTTTGGCCGAGCATGGATCAAAATAGCTTCCAAGAGGCCACAACAAAACCACCGATCGTCTCTTGACGGGCGGCTGGGAATTCGCGAAGCGTCAAGAATTCTCAACTGACGGGCCCGTGGCTCTTTTTCTATGTTATACGAATATGAAAAGAGGATCCGGTGAATGGTAACAGTGCGCACATTGAAAAAATAATGCTGCGGCTGGCAATGCGGATGTCGCGCATCAGTGCCCACACTCCTCTAAGAGGTTTCGAAGTGGACGGTGTAGGTTAGATTCAGTCGCACGCGCGAAGCGGACAGCACTATGTGGGGGAAACCTGAATGTTTTAACTGGTCGTGTGCACTGCAGTAGCTGTATGGAATACAGAGAGACATGATGTGCAAATGGGGGAACCCGTGCTGAGAGAAGGCACGTTCTCTTTCCTCGCGCTGAGAGAAGGCACGTTCTCGTTCCGTTTACGGGGGCTCGCGCGCGCCCACTGCCTGCGCGCCACGCAGCCCAAGGGCCCCGTGATCCGAGACGGCCGCGGGGCAAGGAGAGGCTGAAATGGGCATAACAACCACATAGTGCGGATGTGCGCAGGAAGACGCCAGGTACAAGAGATCTGCAATGCGGATTCAAGTGCTCTTTCGTTCCCGGTGGTCCTGGAGACTTGGCGTTGCGTCGCGGCCTGCCGTGGGCGGCCCCGCGATATCTCTCTAGTGGTTCTCGACATCCCACCATCGTGAATACTAAAGCGGCGAGAAGTCGGGCGTCCCGAAGTGTTCCTTCTCATCTAGGCGTAATGCTTCCTGCATGTTTGGCACGAAATGCAGATGCTGCGCGGATTGTGCCCCGCGCAGACGTCGTGAGCGCTGCCGAGGGAGCACGAGTTGAGCTCTGTCGATGGCACGGTAAGCGTCGATCAACCCCACGAAACGATATTTGCCGAACTTGAGCTAGGAACGGTCATCGGTGCAGACGGTGAAGCTGTGGAAAGCGGCTGAGCCGCGAATGGGGCTGCAATCGCTGAGCTGGATCAGGCTGAAATTGCAAACACCTCCTGTATCATCTGCTCGTATGGGACCAGAAGAGGTGAGACTCTCGCCAGGCGTATTGTCGATGATGAGGCTGCGGTAATGCTCGATTCGTTGTTGGCACTTCCGAGATAACGCCCATCCTCTGTGGTTTGTTGAGGTGCTTTCTGTCAGAATATCGCATTGCCTTGTGGCCATCCCGCCACCTTGCCTGGGCTGAGGCGCGTTGGATGCCTCTCGGGGTATATTGGAGCATGTGGGGGACTTCTTGGGATGCCGTCATTGTGGATGCCTCTGGGGAGCTATTTGGGTATCCTGGGGGCGTCTTTGGGGCCTATGGGATGCTTCTCGAGGTTTTTGTTGTCTTGAGGGCTAATTGGGGGCGCCATGGGGCCTTTGAAAGAGCCCCTGGGGCCTCGTGAGGGCTTCTTGGCGGTGTCTGGGGCCATCTTGGCCGCAGGGCACCATCGCTTTCCCCCTCTTGGGCCCCGCTTGGGGCTGCCTTGGGGCCTCTTGGGTCATCTTGGTGGCCTCTTGAGCCATATTTGCCCTTCTTGGGCCGTCTTGCAGCCCTCTTGGGTGGGGGCGCCTCGGGCCCTCTTGGGACAACCTTTGGGGCCTCTTGGGCAGTCTTGGAGCGTCGGGGGCGCGAGAGGGCGAGAACGCAAACATCGAAACATCATATGAGAAATTCAATGATTGCGGCCTCTCGGGGCCCTCTTCGGGGCCCTCTTGGGGCACTCTTGGTGAATCTCTTGGGCCTCGTTGGCGGTGTCTGGGACTGCCTGGGGCGTCTGGGGGCGATCTTGGAGCGGCTCGAGGCCCTCTCGGGCCGCCTGGGGGGCTCCTCGGGCGATCTGATGCGCCCCCCGTCGCGCTCGGAGGGCGCCCAGCTCGTCCCCAGAGCACGGCTACCTCCCCCGAGAGGTCCCCGGACTCCCATGGAGGGTCGAGGCAGTGGTTCTGGCGCCCCGCGCCTCGTCCCCAAGGATATCTGTGTATATACACATAGACATACACAAATCTTATTCTTCAATATATATATATATATATATATACATATTATGTGTATACAAATCTACATACGAACACGTTAAATGTCTGCTCCCCTGCTCTCCTGTCTCCCTCCTCATCACCCTCCTTGTCTCGTGCCTCCCTCGCTCCCCCTGGTGGCGGGGCCTCGCTCATCATGGGGACCTCCTCCAGCGGCACCTCGATCTGGATGACCTCCCAGCGCCGCCGCTCCCAACGCGGGCCGGGACCTTCGGCCTCCAACCCTCGCCGCTGCCCGCCTCCGCTATCCTCCCACTCGTCGTTGTTGGATCGTTGGCGTCGTCGTCGGCGGCACTGTACTCCCACTCTTGCCCGTCCTCGTCCTGATTGCTCCCTCCCCTCCTCCTCCACCTCGCTCTGCTCACCCGCCTCCTCCTCCACCTCGCTCTCACCCTTCTCCTCCCCCTCCGGAGCCACGACATCCCTGCGACTGCCTCAGGCATCATCAGAAAAGCCTCTCGAAGAATCCAGAAACGCCATGGAGAACCCGCCGAGAAGCATCCGAAGTCGCCTCTGAAGCCGAAGACCCTCTTGAGAAATCCGAAAACGCGTGCTGATTATAGAAACATCGAAACCCTCCGATGGCCCCGAATACGCCAGAAGACGTCTGAGCAGCGGTCCAGGCAACCTCCCTAGCTAGGCCTCCGAAGAGCCGATGATAGGGGAACCAAAAAGCCCCGATACCGCTATTCCCCAGACCTGTCCTGGGTGCGTTCTGACCAGAATTTCGAAGCGAGTCCAGCGGTGGTGACGAGGGCCTCCCAGGAGGCCCACAGCAGCGAAAACGAGGCAAGGGCAGCGGTATCGGAACCTCTTCCCCCCCTCTGAGCTGAAGCCCCCCGAGCAGCCTTTCGAAGACGTCCTGGGACCCTCCGAGCCGCCCTCCGAACAAGAAGAACTATGCTCGTGCTTCGCGCTGCGAGAAACGCGAACAATTTCGCGCTCACGCGCCGCCCCCCGGGGGAAACAGGAGGACAAGGAGACTGCGGATGAGGAATCGCGAGTCGCGAAGAAAGCAGAGGAGCACAAAACTGCATCATCAGCATCATCATCATCATCATCATCATCATCATCATCATCATCAGCATTATCATCAGCATCATTTGTATCATCATCATCAGCATCATAATCATCATCAGCACCATCATCATCATCACCATCACCATCACCATCACAATCACCGTAACCACCACCACCATCACCATCGGCATCATCATCAGCTCCATCAACGTCATAATCATCAGCAAAAAACATCATCAGCATCACCATCAGATCACCATCACCATCTTCATCATCAGCATCATCATCAGCATCAGCATCATCATCAGCATCAACATCAACATCAGCATCAGCATCAGCATCAGCATCAGCACTATCACCATCACCATCACCATCGTCATCGTCAGCATCAACATCAGCATCATCATCATCATCATCATCAGCATCAGCATCAGCAGCATCAGCATCAGCATCAGCATCATCATCAGCATCAGCATCAGCATCATCATCGTCATCGCCATTGCCATCGTCATATTCATCATCATCACACTCGTCATCAGCATCAGCATCGTCTTCATCGTCCATTGGAGGTCTGGGCCGCCCTCCCTGGCGCGCGTGGAGGGGCGGCGCCCGAGGCGCCGCCTGGTGGCCCACCTCCGTCCAAGGAATACGCGCGGACCTCCGAGAGATTATCTGCCACCGTGCCCGCCTGCACGGGGTGGGCCTGCAGTCACTACGCCGCCAGGCTTTCCTGACCACGGCAAGTCTGCCCCTCCCCCTCCCCATCTTTGACGTTGCGTAAACTTCGGGCTGCAGCCTGGAGCGTTACTGGATGTGAGAAACAAGAGAACGTCGACTTGGCGGAGAGAAAAACCAATTTAACCTGGCTGGCGCAGCAGAAGACGACAGGCAATCATAACCATAAAAAGAGGGCTCCCAAGGGCTCGGAGTATGCGTCAGCCAGGCGGTATGCAGGAGGAGGGACCGAACGAACGAGAACCGGGCGCCTCCCTCTCCTCTTCCTCCTCCTCCTCCTCCTCCTCCTCTCCCCCTTCTCCCTCCCCCTCCCCCTCGTCGTCCTCCTCCTCCTCCTCCTCCTCCTCGTCCTCCTCCTCCTCCTCCTGCTCCTCCTGCTCCTCTCCCCCTTCTCCCTCCCCCTCCCCCTCGTCCTCCTCCTCCTCCTCCTCCTTCTCATCCCCCTTCTCCCTACCCCTCCTCCTCCTCCGCCTCCTCCTCCTCCTCCTCCTCCTCCTCCTCACTCCACCACCCGCCCCATGCCCCGGGCCTGTGGCAGGGTCATCGGCTCGTCGTTGTCGTCGTCGTCGTGGTCGTCGTCGTCGTCGTCCCTCCTGGGTGGGCAGCTTGCGGCCTTCACAAAGGTGCGAAGGGGTTTTCCGGGCCACGGTGGGCCTCGTCCACGATTAGGTTCCCCGACCTAGGCCAAAGGAACGACCCGATAACCCGAGCCCTCCCGAGCCCAGAGTGGTCCTCAGGTCAGCGCCTTGACTGCATTGGAATGCGTCTCTGTTACCTGGAAGGTGTTGCTTTGGCCTTTCTAAGGCCGACCCCCCTGACATACCACGCGTCCCTTGAAAACAAACCTTTTTCTGGATTTCTCGTTCCACGATGACTTCCAAGAGAACAGCTATTACACCAAAGCGGCTCCCGGTGGCCCAAAGCAGCTCAAGAGGCTCCCAAGACGACCTCAAGAGAGTCCAAGAGGTCTCCAAAACGGCCCACAGAGGGCTCCATGAGGCACCCCAGGAGAGCCCGAAGAGGCAACGGCATTGATTCAATGATATGAAAAGAATTCTGAAAATCTCGCCTGCTCGGCTTTGCGACCGCCCGAGATGGCCGAAGATGTTTCGGGCCCCAAGTTGGCCCAAAAGGCCACCAAAAAAGGCCCCCACGCGGCCACCAAGAGGCCTCAAGAGGTCCCTTAGAGGAGCCAAGATGCCCCAAGAAGCTCCGAAGACCGCCACTAGGCCCCCAAAACTCAAGACGTCTAGATAAGCCTCCAAGAGGGCCCAAGTCGCCACAAGAGACCCTGAAGAGCCGACAGAAAGGCCCCCTAAGACGCGCCAGGAGGCCTCCGAGAGACATCCCAAGAGAGATCCCAAGAGACTTTGAGAGGCACCCAAAAAGCTTCTGGGCGCTCCCACGAGAAGGGCAGCTCCCGTGGGCATCGTTCCTGGATGGGCAGTTGGGGATACTTTTTTGGGTCAACAGGCTCGCGAGGCGTGTCGAAAGCCGTCCAAGCACTAGTCGGGCCGCGACTAGGCAGCAGGAAGAAAAAGGCAAGCGAAGCGAGCGACCGGGCAGCCACTCAGGAGAAGAGGCAGAACCGATACTCCCAAACCCTGTGGCGTGGAAATCCCTGTGGCGACCAGCAAGTAAACGCAGCCAAAATGGCGCGGAGGCGCGACTATAAACACGCAGAGGCGAGGCGTTGCGGATTCAAATTCCTTCCCGCTGCGCTGTTGCACAGGTGCTGTGGCGGGGTTTGCCGCAGGCAACTGGATATACGTACCGTGTTTGGTTCTTCGACGAAGAGCCCCCGAGCAGCCCTCCGAAGGTCCAACATTGGGGACGCACTGACACGGGTCAACACAAACCCGGGTCGGCCAAGGATCGTGAAGCCCGGCCGGCCGCTTCGTATAGCTCCCAAGCCCAAGTCGGTGGAAGGCTGATGGGGGGAATCGGCCCTGCGTGGCTCCCAAACCCGCGTCAGAGGAGACTTGCTGACCCCCGTCAGCGCTGACACAACGTTGCTAGGGTCCCCGGGTCCCCCCAAATGGGGTCCGAGCCGATGGGGCCAGACGATCGCGCCGGATCGGCGCCGTCGTTGTTGAGAAAGTCGGGCCCCACATCGAGCCGCACATCGAGCTGCATCGCCGATGCATCGGCGATGCGGCGCGAACCTCCGACCCGCATTTGTCGAGTAGGGATCGACTACATCATTGATGTACCCCGATTTTTGTTGTTCCGTCGGGTCTTCGAAAAATGCGCATCATGTCCCATAGATCTACGGAGCACTCTACGTCTTGTCCCGCAGACTCGACGAAAAAAGCATTCCTGGGGTAAATCACCTCTGTAGTCGATCTCCTAGTCGAATATGATGCCTAGGGTTACGCTTAAGTCGAGCGTGTCCCCCTACAGGGGGAATTTTCGACGAAAAAAAAAGAAATACCTCAAAATACTCCAAAATGGTTACAAAATACTAAAAAATAATCCCCACATTATTTTTTGATTATTTTTGACTACTCCTCCTGTAGAGGGACAGGCCCGACTTAAGGCTACGCGGGCCCCGACGGCAACTGCCCGGGCCTGCGATGGCACCTCCGCGGAGGCGCCGCTCTCCTCGCCGCCCGGCGCCGGCGCATGCCGCGGAGCCTCCGAGGGGGGGGCACGCCGGCAGGGCCCTCCCCTTCGAGTAGGGGATCGGCTGCAGGATCGATCTAGCCCAGAATTGATTTTGCCGTCGAACACGGAAACCTCAGAAACCTCCGTAGATCTCACGAGCACGCTACGCATTTTGCAAAGAAGGAACTCTGCCGACACAAAACCAGACTCTGTGGCAAATCGTCGGAAGGCTGACTTGGGCTGCTTGGGAGCGTCTTGGGCCATCCTTTCGCATTCTGGGGGCTCCGGGAGGCGTCTTGGGCCCTCCTGGAGCGCTGTGGAGGCTCCCCGGAAAGGCCAGGGGAGCGGTACCGGGAGCGTTCCCGAGATGTCGCGGGGAGGGGGGGGGGCGGTACGCATTTATATTATATACTAGAAACATCGCGCGCGCTTCGCGCGCGCTCAAGTTCTAGCTAGGCTTGATAAGCTAACTCGTATCATATCATGTTGGCCGCGTCTTGCGTCCAGGGATTCCCTTGGAGGCCCTGCGCAAGCCTCGGAATCTTATAGAAGGGGATGTGCGGAAACGCAGAAATCATTAATTCCCTTTAGGTGTTCAACGATTTGGGGCCCTCAAAGGCTTACTGGGTTCTTTTGCGGGAAGTGAGGGGGATCTGAATTGTGGTCTATTGTGCAAGACTAGACCGGGGGCCAAATTTGAAAAAAAAAAAAAGGAATTGTGGGATTTCCGTATCTTTCCATTTCCTCGGCGCTGTTCGGCGCTGTTTTTGTTTGTGCCTCGCGGGTTTTGTTAGCCGGGCCCCTCAGGGGTGTGGGATCTTCCAGACCCCCTGGGGGTTCTGGAGGCCTCCTAGAGGCCTGGAGAGCCGTCGGAAGGGTGTCTCGGGCTGCGCGGGAGTGTTTTGCGCCTCTCTTTACGTTCTGGGGGCTCCTTTGGGTCGTCTTGGGCTGTCCTTGGGCATCTTAGGGGCCCCCCCGGGAAGCCGGGAGGCGCAGTACCGGCCAGATGTCAGGGGATATGGCATCTCCGAGGAGTCCCACTTTGAAAAAAAAAAAAACGGATTCTGGGAATTCCCATTTTGTTCAAAATCCTCGATCTTCGAGGGCTGACGCAGGAAAACGTGAGAAGGCGAAAGACATTAGGAAAACCATGGGAAATCAACTATTTTACCTTCTTTAGGCTCTCTCGGGACGGCTCTCGCAGCTCTCTTGGGCTGTTCTCGGAGCCTCGTCGGGGTCTTTGTGGGGCCTCTCAGAGATCGGGAGTGTGTTGGGGGTCTCTGGGGGGTCCTGGAGGCCTCTCGGAGGTCTCTGGAAGCATCCTGTTCCCGCTCTTGGGCCTGTTCTGGGGTGGTCTGGGGCTGTCCTGGGCGCCTCTTCGGCAGTCTTGGAGCCTTCTTGGTCCGTCTTGGGGCCGTCCTGAGGGTCTCTTGGGTGATCTTGGGGCGGTCTCGGGCGGCTCTTCGGCGTTGTTGGAGCGTTGGAAGCTCGAAAACGCGATAAGCCAAAAACATGGACAAAAAAACAGATGAAAATCAACGATGTTGGCCTCTTCGGGCCATCTCGGGACGCTTCTCGGACCTCTCTTGGAATCTCTTGGAGGCCACCTGGGAGCCTCGAGAGCCGTCGGAAGGCTGACTTGGGCTGCTTGGGAGCGTCTTGGGCCATCCTTTCGCATTCTGGGGGCTCCCGGGAGGCGTCTTGGGCCCTCCTGGGGCGGTGTCGAGGCTCCCCGGAAAGGCCGGGGGAGCGGTACCGGGAGCGTCCCCGAGATGTCACGGGGAGGTGTAGGACCGGGGCCGGGGGATATATATATATATATATATATATATATATATGTATATATATATATATGTGTGTGTGTGTGTACGTTTACATCCTATATACGGTTTACATATATATATATATACATACATACATGTATGTAGACATATACAAATGCATTCGCCCTCGAGAACAGCGAACCCCCTCGGAACAAAAAAAGCCCGGGAGGGCCGCCGCCGTCTCGACGGGCAAATGTCGAAACCAAGACTGGAAAAATGCAGGGCTCCGTAAACCCGAACATGCCAGACCAGGACACCCAACATCCCTCGAAAACAATTTTTTCCAGTTGGCGACACGGGGAAAAACTGTTCTGCAACACTCCCAACATAAACCTGGGCACAAACTTTTTTTTAAAAATAATACAGAAAAAACATGCAGAATCTCCCATGGACCCGGAGAGACAACGGAATCCTGCAGCGCAGCAGAAACAAACGGCACAGGACGACCAAATTCGATTTCGCAGGAATAGGTGCCGCTGTCCCAACTTACCAATGTCCTGCAAGGAGTCTGTGTCCTGGTCTCCAGGGGCCCGGTTCACACATGTGAGCGAGCCATATGGCTCGGTGCTGGGCCAGAGCGACGGGGCCTGCGCTCCACACGCGCTGGCTGCCGATCGGTGTGAGCAGGCGCCGTTGCGCTTATCCACCTGATTCGGGCCAGGCCTGGCTGGGGGGCCCGGGGGCTCGTCGGGGCCTGGCTGGGGAAGCCCGCGCGTCATCGTGGGGGACCCAGGCGACCGGCGGAGCCTCCCGCACGGCGCCCGCAGCCGCCGCGGTCGCGGCCGCCAGCGGCCCGGCCAGCGCGGCCCCCGCTGACGATGGCGGCTCGGCGACTCGCTCGGCGGCGGGTCTGCCAGGCCCTGCGAGCTGGGGGGCGGGGGGAGGAGGAGGAGGAGGAGGAGGAGGAGGAGGCGGAGGAGGAGGAGGAGGAGGAGGAGGAGGAGGAGGAGGAGGAGGAGGAGAGGAGGAGGAGGAGGATGAGGAGGAGGAAGGGGAGGAGGAGGAGGATGAGGAGGAGGAAGAGGAGGATGCGGAGAATGATTGTAAACCCAAGAATCATCAACGATATTTTTTCCAAGCGCCCTCTTCATAGGCTCTTCAACGGTTCATTTCCATTGGGGGAAGTGCCTCGTTGGAAGACAACCGTTTGAAGACCCTGAAGCAAGCATGCCACAGCATGGTTCTCGGGATTTAACGCCACGGATCAACCTGACTGTTGCGTTTTGACGATCCTGAATGGTGCCTGAACGCCATTCTTGGGATTTTAACGCCGCGAACCAACGAAAATGTTGAACCCGCAAAATCCTGAATCCTAAAAAACAATGTCTGGTACGTTGGCCATGGAAATCAGTGAAACACTGCGGCGCGAAGGCGGGAACCACATTTTGAAAACCACCCGCCCTCCATCAGTGAAGCTGCTACACATGTTTACCAGGAACGTGCGCGGCGCCTTGTTAAAACGAATGTATGCGGCGCTAAAGCGGACACCACAGCAAATGTTTAAAAACGAATGTGCGCAACGCTAAGGCTAGAACCACACGTTGAGAACGGGTCGCCCTCAATCAGTGAAGCTTTTGCAACGCTTTTAAACCAAGTGCGCGCGGCGCTCAGACGAGAGTCACATTCTGAAAACCACCCACCCTCCATGTGCGAAGTTGTTGCCATCTATTTAGCTTCAGGGTCATAAGTAGGGAGAAGTCTCAGGCGAAACTTCCAGCCCGCCCTAAAAAGTGGCCTCGGGGTGAGACAGGGAGAAGCTACTTATCAAGAAAAGGACTGGAGGAGGAGGAGGAGGAGGAGGAGGAGGAGGAGGAGGAGGAGGAGGAGGGGGGGGGGGGGGAGAAGGAAGAGGAGGAGGAGGAGGGGGAGGCGGAGTGGGGGAACGAAGAGGCGGAGCAAGGAGGGGGAACGAGGAGGAGGAGCGAAAAGGAGGGGGTTGATGCAACGCGGGCATGAGGGTGGCTCCCTGCGCTCAGTACGTGAGGATCTTAGCTCTGGACAAGAAAGGAAGAGCACAAAAAAATGAGGGAAGCACGGGGGCGCCTTGCCCTGGATGACAGTCCAGGCCTGTAAGTCCCTACGTGCCGCCTCGACCTGTCGGGGCGATGGTGCCTGCGGCTGCGTTGGGAAGAGGAAGTTGCGGGGCGGGCCCTGCCGGGCCCACGGGGCAACACGAGCATGTCGCCTCTCAGCGCGAATTCGTCGAGCTGCAGCACGATTGGCCGCAATCCTGGCCATTTGGGAGGCGGAGAGGGGAAGGGGGGCAGGGGGCGGAGGCAGGGGCGGAGGTGGGGGGGGGGAAGGAAGAAAGGGCCAGGACGCAGCTTGCTCCTCAGGGGAGCCGAGCAGAAAATCTGCTACTCGCTGCCCATCAGGATCCTGTTCGGAATGACCCTAGGCATGCGGGGGAGAATCCGAAACCTCTGGCCCTTCTGAGTCAGAAGAGTCGAAACGTGAAAGCTCTGGGTCAGCGCGCCTAGACCCCCGGCCCGCCCTGCCTTGGACTCCAGCAAAATCGGGGGCAGGGGCTGGGGATTCTGGCGCATCTCGCTGCATGGCAGCGTAGAAGGTGATGAGCCCGTCACGAACTGCAGCACAATCCTGATAGTACTGAAACACTGGCTCCTCGCACGAGGAGTCTAGTAGAGTGCATATGCTGGCAGCAATACTTTCAGCAAGAGCCTTACAAAGGCCACCAGGGTAGGCCTTCTTAGAGGCCGTATGAAAAACTCAGCCATCCCGCTTGCCGAGCAAAGTCCTGTGAACACCTCTGCCATGCGAGCACCTCCCGCTGCCTGGAGTGGAACGCAATCTGCGCGGTAAACAAGGCATGCGCACAGACAATATACAGGTGGGAGCCCGTCCGTATGTAGTGGGGCAGGCGGCGGGGCCTTGATGCTCACACTGGTCAAATTCAGTGAGATTAGAACACGGGGCAGCGGCAAGGGCCTGCATGGGGCGCCACCTGAATGACGCGGGAGCCCCAGGAGCCCAGAGAGCGGGGGCCGGGTGCTCAAGCCAGCCTCCAGTGCCAGCTCTGAGGTGCTCAGCTAGAAGCCGAACTAAATCAAATAACAACACGGAGCCCATCCTAACCTGCTCAGACTGTCCCCACAAAATCCAAAGCACATCCCCAGACATGTTCCATAGACCTGAGGGGGGGGGGGGGGGGGGCGCCTTCAGTCCACCTGGCAGCAGACCAGGTTTCGCAAGGCGGACCCCCCACCGAGTTAATAACTCTGTGACATCTCACGTGCTCAATCCATTCCAGCATAATACTTTCCCGAGACAGGTCCCCGCGAACGTTGTCAATAGCAATGTCCACGCTGAGCACGACGATTTCAATGGTAGGCTGGGCAATCGAAAACTCAATGTGCCATTGGACATCCTCCCGTCTGCGGTGTCCACTGAAGAGGTTGAGCACGAACAACGTGCTGCGAACGATGCGGAGGGGTACGGAATCCGAAGCCACCCCAGTGTATGAACCAGGATCAAAGAGGTAGAAGGGGGGTTCACGTACTTGATCCTGCCTGGGAGCCACATCTTGGAAAATGGCATGGAACCCTGCTCGCTTTTCTTGTGGGATGGCATAATCGGATTCCAACGAAACTGCTTGAGCTTCTTGCTGGCTGAGGTCACTCACCAGCTCGTGGCTGGGCAAGCGCACGCTTGCAACTCGACTTGCTGGGGCGTCCGTGCGCCATCTGCCAAATCCAGCCCGACGTTGCTCTAGCAATATCTGGGCTTCTTGCTCGTTCAACTGGGCAGCTTCGGAGAATGAGCACTTAGAACCACCTGCAATAGAAAACTGCATGCCGATACTGATATGCTCCACAGGCCCCGTGACTTCAACCTCCACATCTCCAATGCCAAGAGGCCCACAACAAAGGATCTGGGGATGGGGTAGAGCAGGTGCAGACACTATAAGCATAAAACCACCAGGGTAGGCGTACTGTAGAGGCTCGACCAGATGTAATTTAGGTAAGACCTTATCCACAGTAACAGTTTCAGAGGGACCATTGTCTAGAATATACCCAACATCACACTTAACAAAATCAAACGCAAGATGAGACGTGAGAGCCGAGCGGTGGGAAAACGACTGGCAACACGTGTGACATGTGTGTGAATGACCCTGAATGCGTCTGATATGCTGAACCCTGGAGTGATGGTTGCGAAGTATGTGTGTACGAAGTCCTCTAGCCTTGGCAAACGAAGTATGACACCACATATATACCCATGTACGATCCTGTTCACTTTCAAGTATACGCGTGGGATGCTGCGGATCATCCCATGCTGGAGGTACACCTGCACCGAGCAAGATAATGAAAATGTCTTGCACAGCTGTATGTGCCAAAACCTCACGCTGCAACTGTCTGACATGTGAAACTAGGGCGCTGCGAATGGTACGCTTCCAAACTGAAGGAGAGAGCGTCTTGCCTCCTGTTCCCAGGCGTGTAGGTCGTCAGCTGGAGATGGAAGCCGATGTAGGTGCGGCAAATGTAGGCGAAGCCATTCTATATCTTCCAAAATCGTGTGCGCCCAGGACTGGCGGCAATGCTGCAGACACGCACCTAGAAGAGCAAACAGGTGATGTGGGCCAGAAACGAGAAGCCCGCCAAAAAGCCTTAGCCTGCATGCCGAAAGAAGAGCCTCGAGTGGCGGACGACCAACTGCTGCCAGGACCGCTCGATTGTGTGCCGCAGATTCGTCACGTCGCGGTAGCTTGGCAATAGCCCTGTAATACATAAGCAGACCATCCTGGAGCCCCCGATGTTGAGCGACCGTGAGGGGCCCCCACGTGCTGGCCTGGAAGAGGCGACCCGAGCAGACCAGGGAGTCCAGGAGGACCATGGAAGCCGCAGGGGTGGGGCCTTGAACTCCAGCACGTTTGAAAACTCGGTACCGAAGGGCCTTCCAGGCGGGAAAACAGCTGTTTTGCCTATGGGCAAGCTCCGGCCCCATGGACCCAGTCATATCATGCATGGTACCCAAATGCACGTATTGCTGGACTCGATGTAGAGTAACGGTCCCCGAAGACTTAGTACATACCTGAATGTTGTCGCACGTGTCCTGGACAAGAACTCGTCTAGCATTGCGAGCTCCAGGGCCTCTGAAATGGAATAAGAACGCACACTTCCCAGGCCTACAGTTAACTCTGAGTCCGCGAATGTTGAAAGCCTCGATAACAGCGGCCGCCACGAAGGGAGCTTGGAACAACAGTGTCTTGGCAGGACCTGCGAAACTGAAATGGGCGTCGTCGAAAAATGCGCCCTCCATGGCGCGGCATGCGCGCGCGCTGCCGGCGTCGCCCTTGCCAGCGCAAGCCGCTAGTGAGGAGACAGAGTGCGTGGGTAGGCGAAACTCGACTCCAAATCCCACCAAATCCCAGTAGATTAGCTTGAGCTCGATGCATAACTTTAACCATGATAAAGATATAAACAATATCCCCTAGCATTTGCCCAGGACCAGAGCCCAAGTAAGAAAAAACAGCTCCTACCCCGTCAGGAACATAAAACAGGGCCCGTCATGCGCATCTGAAATCTGAGCCCGCCTCAAGGGAGAACCCCCAGCAGCTTCTAGGATAGGAGTCTGTTGCTTGATGAAGTCCCTTAGCTCCTGGGTGGCGTCTAGTGGTAGGCCGCGCGCGCATAATTGCTGTGAGAGGGGCTGATCATCACATGCCGTGCGGAAGACTAACTCTCTCACTGCCTTGTAAAAAGCTTGCGCTGCGTCAATGAAAAGGATGAGCACGCTGTGGCCTCTGGCAGCAGCCAGTTGTTGAAATGCTCGCAACTCAAGGGCAGAGAAATCCGTGCCTCTGCCTGGGAGACCGCCAAACTGCCGATCTCCTGCTGTGGCC